AAGTATATACAAAGCAGAGGGAAGAAGAGATTCTGTCCCTGATGCAGGTGTAGTACAAACCTGTCTTTGAAGATAATTCAGGAAAGAAAAAGTGTAGTATTTGTCTTTTGAGTCCCCACCACACAATGAAACAAATTTATACTATGCTGAATAAAATAAAACTGAAATGCACTTCCGAAGATTCAAACCACTACCTCTAGAATACATTCTTCTATTAAATGGAGAAAATGAAATCAAGATCTATTATCTACAATGACTTTAACATGCAATATATCTTCATCTTACATTAACAATGGCCTGCAGTACTAATCATGAGTCTCTGGAAGCTACCCAAAGGATCACATTGATAATACTTTCACCATCTTTAATATACACAGTAAGAGATTAAAAAAAAAAAAAAATGACCCCACCCTCTCTTTTATTAAAAATATATTCACCCAAGCAAGGCGATAATGCTACTATGCAAGGGGCTACTGGGACTGAAAGAGAATGAGAAGACTTTAGCAGGAACTGGAAACCCTATTCTAAACAGGAAACAAGAGACAAACCTCTACTCCTGTTCAAAAGACCAAGTGGAATGTGAACCTATGCTACTGAGGAAAATAAATAAATCATACTTATAAAACCCAGGTGTGTGTGTGTGTGTGTGTGTGTGTGTGTGTGTCTGTACATTTATATATTGGATCGGATTTCCTACATTTTTCAACTGATTTCAACAAAACTTCACAGGACTACGTAAAATTACCTTGCGGTGGTTCTGACAGTGCCAACAATTGTTTTTGCACAAAATCAATTTGAAAACACGATTAAGAGGCGTCGTGAGAATGAAAGGGGGACAACTCATATCGAGTTATACTTATTATAAAACCCAGGTTGTGTGTGTGTGTGTGTGTTCATTTATATATGGGATCGGATTTCCTACATTTTTCAACCAATTTCAACAAAACTTCACTTTTTTTTTGGCAGGTAGTGTTTCTTAATTGTCTTGCACACTTTTTTCTTTATTTTTACATTCAGAATGCTTTAAAAATTCCATTTACAAGACAATTGTTTATAATAAAATTCTATTCAATCGGTAGACTCATAACGATTGAAAACAATGTTTTTGTTTGAGTTTCACCAATTCGTAAAAAAAAAAAAATAATTAAGACATGCGTGTCCGTCAACCTTAAACAATAATCTTTGTCAATTTTATTTTTCTGTCTTTATGATGGTCGATACTTGATCTATCTCTTACTGTTACATCGCCGGGGCTCTACTGCTAGTAGTAAATAAAATTCCAGAGTTTAAACAGAGACATCAGACATACAGAGTTGAAGTAGATTTTAGAATGAACTGGAAACCCAATTCTAAACAACGAACAAGACAGGGGATGACTTTACTATTAATATTAAAATATAGAAATAAATATTTAACAATACTTCTTTTGTTTGAAATAAGAAATATTCAATATGTTAAATTCATCAGCCACATAAGAAATTTCCTAGATTTCAGTTATTTTATTTTAGCCCATGATTCAATGCCAATTTTGAATATACTTGTAAAAAAATTCTTCTGTGCAAAAAAGAACTTAATCCATTAAAATTCATCTGTTTGTCTTTTTAATATCTGAATTCAGGATTAGATTCATACTAATAGATGTAACCAACATTGTCCATATTTCTAAATATTTAAAATAAATTTAATCCTCTTCATTTATGATATTTTGTCTCAGTAGCTTTAAAAAGATCTGACAATTTTCAATTGGTTCAGAAATATTAATTCTATTAGAATTGTTGCTTGCATGCAATTAACAAAATAGTGTTAAATTATCCTTATAAAATTTCACAAAAAATAAATGTAAACAAACAAATACAAGACCTAAAACTAAATTCTGTTCTTACATATTTTGGTGGGTGGGAAGAAAAATCCTCTTTTATACAAAATACTTTAATGTCAATTACATCATCTATTCTTATTCATGCCTTTCCCAAGGTCATCAGTACAAAGTGAATGCAGATTATCTCAGTTAAAGATTGTATTCAGTTTTCCAATTCCATTTTCCTGGCAATCAATAGATCCACTGGCATTTTTTTTTTAGAAATAAATATTTACAGAGATTAGGGCACTTCCAGTTTATGTGGTATGATGTAAAAAGATGTCCATTTTTGAAGTTTGGCTGGAAATAGCAATTTTCACCCTAAATTGACCTGTGGCAACCAGTAGTAACCTCAGAGGTCAGAGCAATTTTTTCAGTGTTCATCCACAAGTTACTCTAATAAATTACCTGCGTTGGTTTTCATTCATATGAACTCAGTTCTTAGAACCAAACAGCCAGACAACTTGCACATATGATTTAATGAGAATGGTGAAGGCTTGTGCAGAAACAACCACACTTTTTTGATGAGCCAAATGCAGAGAACTGATATGCACAGTGTGTTACAAGGTTCCAAAAGAATCCTTCTTGGGTTTTGAATTCATACTCGTTCTTCTCCTAGACTGGTTGCCACCCAGTCTATCCTGCTATTTACTCATAGCAGGAGGGGAGAAGATAAAAAAGTGCTGTTATTTTTTGGCAAATGTTAGGGTAATATTTGTTACCCATCCTGTTTTCTCTTCCATTTGTAAGTACACCCCCCATCATGTTAATTCAGCAATTTATCAATATAAGTGTAGTTGTGGACTCTAATACATAAGGAGGACGTCCCAGCATTTGGATTTGAGAATAAAACAACACTTACCACCCAGGATTTTGAATCCGGATGCCAGGAAAAGCCAACTAACCAATAGTTCTGGCTCTACTATTGCTGAGCATATAATAAATAGCAGGAAATGTGTGGTTGATTTTATTGGCAAGCATTTTTCGATTTCATCTAGGTCCCCCTCCACTCTAGAGTCCTTGTATATCAGATCCCGTAGGCTTTCCCTTTGTAAACAAAGGGAATGCTTACTGGGTCTGAATGTTATTGGACTCTAGTTTCTTGAAATTCATTTTTTTTATTTATTCAATTCTATTCATTATAATAATTAATTTACATGCTTTTATATTTTTTATATCCCCAAAAAATAAGCTTGATAAGTCCTGGGACAAATCCGGTTGTTCTTTTCTTCTAGCCTTTTTAAAAAATGCCATATAAATTTTGCATTTTCCTAGCTATTGTTAAATTTTGTACCATAAAAAACTTTTATATATATAGATAGATAGATAGATAGATAGCAAAAAAAAAAAAAAAAAAACCAGAGGAAAACTTTTTATGCCAACACAGTTCATTCCTTGAGTAAGTTTATCAAGGCAAGTGTGGAAATTTTGTTTATACACAGAAGTAACATGGAGATGCACTAAAATATTCTACAAACCTTACTGTGTAAGGAAAGGTAAATTATGGATAATGCTAAGTGACATCATTTTGGGTCCTATGAAATGAAAGTGAGTTAATGTTGTTCATATTGATTTAACAAGATTTCTCGAATATTCAGACCGGTAGATGTAAATGTGTGTGTATTTATTATTTATTTTTTTATGTATCTTTTATTTGTTTAATTATCTTTAATTTTTAGAAAGGTCATCAGATAGCAGTTTCTTTCAATTATTCTACATAAATTTTCAATTTTCATGGTCATGCATAATTGCTGAATAGCATTTCTTTTTAAGTTTTAAAGGAGATATCTGAAAAAGAATCCAGCCAGGGAGAAAATGCAAATAAAATTTGTCAGTGACTGATTGATGTTATTTTCTGTTGCCTCTCTTCTTATTTGGCTATAATGAAATAAAAATTTAGGACCTAAAAGAAATTAATTAGATTTCGTCTATGTTACTTGTTACTTTATTGCTACTGCTGACAGATTTTAAAAGAAATATTGATAAGGTAACTTTCTATGTGAAAGAAAGCTGTCTTCTTGCTAACCTTGTTTACTTTTTTTTCACTGTTTAACAGTGTTCACAATAAGTAACTTTTTAGACATTTTCTAAATGACAAAAATCTGCATTGTTTATTTGTAAAACTGATAAAAATCAAAATATCGAAGTCTTTTTTTTGTGACGGACCGATTTGACGCTGTATGAATAGTACCCTCTTCTAAAAATGAATTTAAAAAAAAGTCAATTCAATATTATTCGATTCTGACACATGTAGCATGAGGACGGTCTAAAATGCTAATCTACACAAAAAAAAAAAAAAAATACGAGTGGACCAGTCAATTTAAGTAATTCCAAAAATATTAAAAATCATATTTGCTTATAAATTTCGTTTTAAAACTTTTTACTTAGCTTTTGGAATGTAGTTGACATTTAATTTAAATTTCTAAACTTTGAAGGACAGTTCATCTACAAAATATCGTCTTCTTGTTTCACTCTTCTTGGGTGATGATTTATCTTGAATAGCTGGGAAGGTGATACTAATAAAATTTTGTTATGGAATCGTTAAAGAAAGTTATTGCATTCTTTTATTAAATATTTTTTATCCTTCGGAGAATAACGAAGGTCTTTAAGAAATTTTTTTAAAAAATGATTAATATTTTTTAAAGATGTAAGTGGAGACTCAATTAAAAATAATTTGTATATCTTGTCTTCGGTTATTTAAAATTTATTTTTTTGGACAGATTTTCGAATAAAATGAATATGTTTTTTACTTTACTTTACTACATTTTTAAAGTTAATATTTCAGACGGGAACGAAACACATCTTACAAAAAAAAAAAGAAAATCACGTGTTTTTGTACATAAACTTTTTCTATTGAAAAATACTTTTTTTTAAAATTACGATATGGATATGAAATATTGATGTAGAATTAATAAATTATTTTAATAACAAAACAAGCGAAGAGTAAATTAAGACAAAAGTTAAAACGAAAACTTTTGATCGTGTCCTATACACAAACTAAATAAAGGGACATAATTTCTCGTATTGTAAATAAAGTGCTATTTTTTTAAGTAAATCGAAACATTGTCAGTATAAGATTAGCAAATGAAAATAAAAACTTTTTTTCTTAAGCTAAAAAAGAACTAAATCCCTTAATTCTAACCTGAATGTGTTGTAATCGGCATCTTAAAGCTGTCGCCCACACGAAGAAGTATGGTCCAGCCGCCATCTTTTTTTTCCCGTTTATAATTAATCTACGAGAGTTTATAACGAGATTTGGCTCAGACAATTTCTAAACGGAAAGGAGACAGCATACCAGAAGGTAGGTGTAACATTTTTGTCTGATAAAATTATTAATAGGGCTTTCTTTTTGGCTCGGTAAGCTGCATCCAAATTATTTTGACTCTTTTCTAGTGAATGGAATTCAGAAACTTAATCAGCAAGTTAGTTAGATTCTTAACTTTGAAGTATTAAAAAAAAAAAAAAAATTTCGGCCTGTGTTAGCTCAGCATGTGATCGTATCGGTCTTCAGGATTTGCTCTTTTTCTCGCTTTATTTTAATTGCCTTACGATTTTTATCCACTTCGCCATTACTAACATGTGTCTGATCCCACACTCGAATGTTTCGTGGAGGCTTAAAATACGATTTAGTTGCCATTATTTTCAGTGAATCCGTATTAGATAAAAAGGATGTATGGCTTTTTTTTAAAAAAGCTGGCATGGTCGGCTTTTTTTTTTTTTTTTTTTTTTTTTCGCGAAGGGAGACAATTTGCCATAATTCTTTGCTTAGATTAAGAATTGATTTTAGGAAAACAAATCGTTTAAGCCTTTCCACTTAGTTAGGTGCAGGTTTTTTTTGTTTTTTTTTTTATATAAAATTATAAATACTTCGGTCTTTATGACAGAACTAAACTTTTAACTTCTTAAAATTTTTAGCAAGAAAAAAAATACTATGATTCACGGAATAACCAAATTTTCACCTTCCTTCATTAATTCGACTATTTGAACTTTTATAACGAGAAAAGTTTGCGTGTTCATTTTTTTTTTATAATTTTTTATTTTTTTTCGCATGAGTCATATTTACTTGAATTGAAACCTCGGTTTAAGCGAAAAGAGAAACTTATGGAAGTTTGGAAAAACCGAAGTAAAATTTTTGAAAACTTCTTTTTTATACAGAAGACTTCCGTTTTAAATTAACAAAAAAAAAAAAGGAAAAAATCCGACAATATTATAAAAAGTCGAGTTTGACTTATTTGTATTTCGATGTTATTTAATAACTTAAAGCCAAAAAGTTAAGGTAAAAAGTCGGTTTATAAACTTATATATATATATATATATATATATATATATATATATATATATATATTTTTTTAGTATAAAAAAACATTTTGCTTCCGTAATTGGAATATACAACTAAAAAGCCACTATTTTTTCTTTAATTTTTAGTAAACTTTAAATTCTTTTCTCAAAAGTTTTACTTGAGTATTTTCTATTTTTTTTTTTTTTTTTCTTAAGGATTGAAAAACTTTTCGTTTTATTGAAAAAAAAAAGTTAGGATTTTAAAGTAAAACTAGTCAATTTTATTTCTTCATGAATATTTTCTGAATTTAAAATAAAATTAATATTCAATTACTGTGATATTTCGATAATTATCGATCTAACCTTTTCATGGGGAAGAAGCCTCCTGAAGCAGGTTGTCCATTTGTATTTACTTTCTTCACTTGTTTTCGGTCTTAAATTTTTTTTTTTTTTTCCATCAATCATTTTTCATTATTGAAATGTAGAGAGAGATTGTCTTCGAAATCAAACACATTTAAATTTATTTAACCAGTTTGAGTTTTTTATATTACTTACTTCAGCCCCCCCTTTGCGGATTAAAAATGTCATTGCAATGATATGACTTTTATCAGTGTTTATTTTACTAACTTAAAACTGTAACATAACAAAGTGAGTTTTAGAAATTACTCCTGGAGATTTTAGCCCTTTTTGTTAATAATTCTGAAGCTACGCACTGACTAACAAAAAAAAATCAACCTCCGCCATGCCCAAGGGTTGACTTCACTAGTAATAATAATTAATCTCTTCCTTCCTTCAGTCAGAAATTATTGCTCTGACGTTTTAGTTTTGTCAAAATAAACTTTATCACATTGAAGTTGACTGTAAATCTTATCGATAACATTCTTAATGAAACAAATGTTTTTAAAACTTCTACAAGAAACTAATCACTTATTACGAAATAGTGAATAAGTGACTCTTCTTCCTTGAAGCACCTAAGTGCATTTACAGTGTAGTACACACTTCATTACTGATTCTTAGTTACTTAGCAGCTAGTAAATCTCCTTAAATAACTTTCTCTTTTGTTACAATACCTGCTACTATACGTGTCACTTCCCATTTTACTTTCTCGTTAAATTTGTCCCCCCACAAATGGCGACAATAATGAAATCTTTTTTTCCCCCCACTCCTCTTAAAACTGCCTTTTATTAGAATTAGCACTTGCAAGAAAGACAGTTTTTGGATTCTTACCAGTGGCACTAATGGATGTAGCTAGACTAGAGTAGTACCTTATTTTTCTTTTATCGTAATTTTTTCCCAGTTAATCTTTTATTGTTCGTATTTGTTTCTCCTAAATAACAAGCCGGTTGTTTTTAAGTTTTATAAGCGGTGATCAATAAAATCAATTCACCTTTTATGTGTGCCTTTTTAAATGTATAACTCACCTGCTGATTGTTAATAAATAGGCTGGTTCACCTTTTATCGAAAGTGTCCCTAAATCGCTGCCACCACTGAGGGCTACATCAACTACTACCAATAGTAGTAGTAAATAAATACACCAGTTCTCCCTCTCTACAACGATAATCGTGACCTGATTATTTTGGATTTGTTTCTTTACTGATATTCTATCGAGTTTTAAGTTCACGGCTTTTCTTTTAATGAACAATAATATTCACCTTGTAACATTCCATTGCTACGCATAATTACTTTGCGAATGGATTCACTTTTTTAATGGTCCGAGGGGTGGGGGTGCTATTTTTTTATGACAGGACAACTGTTTTTTAATAACAAATGGCAAATTGATTACATGATTAACTTGACTTACCAAAAGCAGAAAAAGGAATTCTTTCTCTAGGACATTTTTCAAAGATTCTACTAATCAATCTTTGTTAAAAAAAAAAACCCATCTACGTTAGTTAAAATAAAAATACAATTGCCTTATGAAAAATACTTAGTATTTTTCATAAGGCAATTGTATTTTTATTTTCTCAGTCAACTCAAAACTCAATATTTTCACTTCTATGGATTCATTCATTCATTTATTTATTATAGATAGACTGAATATAACTTTTTTCTTTTAACTTCCGTCCGGGATTAATTTTGAAAGGCCTTACTTTCATTTTGTAGATGTACCTCACCAAATAAAGGATGTTTATTATTGTCATATCTCTCTCACACACACACACACACATACATATATATATATATATATATATATATATATATATATATATATATATATATATTTGTAAAATAACTGGCTAGGTCATAATCATTGAGTTCGTAACGACGTTGCCGCCTTGCTTTTTCTTCGTTGTTATATAGCTGCGTAATGGATGATACATTGACCTAAAAATCGTCTTTGGTTATTTAAACGAAATTTCAGTTTGGTTCCAAACTCTAAGAAAAAGTCACCACGTGTAGAATTTGGGTTTGACTCGTATTGTTAGAAATCTATTACCTGTGTTCAGGAAAAAGGAATCTAGTGTAATTAGTCACTTATTCATTCTTCTATCCGCAAAAAAATCAGAGTTCACCAAGGATAAAAGTTTTCTTTTTGTTTTTTGTTTTTCCTATAGTAAATCTTGTGGCCGTAAAAATGTACTTGTATCTGCAACAAGTTTCGATATTTTTTGTGGGGAAATTCTAAAACTTTAAGGAACTAAGCAGAATTTTTTTTTTAATATTCGCTTAACAAACTAAAATGTGTTATGACTTGAAAGGTGAATAAATAAAAAGGCTGCAATTGGTTAGGATTGTTCTTTTGACTCTATGCGTTAAAGATCTTGAAGTTTTCACAGATTTCTTTGCGATTGAAAAATGTAAATTTGTGTAAAGTTTTTAAATGGGATTTTGAGTAACAAGCAATGCTAGTTGAAATATAAATGATTTTAAATGAATTGCTTCAGCCAGACTGAATGACAAATTTTCTGAATGCAAACCTTCATTTTATTTTTAACCTAAAAGTTGCTTCTTTTTTTATTTTTAAAGAAAGTCAAATTGCTCAGCTTGAAAGAACTCAAAAGTTTATTGCAATCGGACTAAAAATTCTTTCTTTCGTAAAAATGGGGTTTTTGTCAGATGCTCATAAATTGTCATTATTCTAAAAAAAAAAAAAATTTCTCATTACATAGTATACACACGGAAATGTCTTTTTTTTTTTTTTTTTTTTTTTTTTTTTTTTTTGTAAGCTTATTAGTTCTCATCGTACTTCCCAAAGTCAATAATACCTAGGGTTTCAATGCATTTTTTGAAAATGAAGTCTTTCTTGAAGCAGGAAGCTTCTGTTTTAGTTTGGATTTCATTTCAAGCTGAACTTAATATTTACTATCAATTAAAAACGCTAAAATCGCCAATATTGACAAATCTTTCAATACAATATAAAATTCTCTTTATACTTTTTTTGAGGAAGATTAGCTGATTTAAATGTTCAATTTGAAACCTGCTACTTTTAGTTTAAAATATCGCAGAGAAACATTTTTTTTTTTTTTTTTACATTTGACTTGGGTGTTTTTATGAGGTGGGGACATAGTTATAACAATTATTGGATGAATAATGTGAATACTTTTTTTTTCTTTTTAACTATCTAGTAATCTTTAAAATTCTGAATATTCAAGCAATCTAATATTTATTGAATTTTAAGTACTTCGGCTTTAGTATTAAATTACAAAGATGCTTGTTGAGGAATTGTTGAAATTACAAATTTTAACTTTATAGTTACAGACCCCTCTTATTTTGTGAATATCCATATTTATTATTTACAAATGATAAATACGAAATTCTTTTTAAAATATTGAATGATTTAATTTTAATGAGCTTTTCCATTCATAATTAATTAAAATCGGATGATTTTTTCTGTTAATAATAAATCCCATTGTAAATGTAATGTCTTCAGATTCTACCAAGTAACTGACCAATTTTTCCTGAAAAAAAAAAAAAGCCTATATTTTATTT